TATTGTAGAGACGAGGTCTTGTCAAGTTGCCTGGGTGGGTCTCGAACCTGCGGGCTCAGGTAATCCACTTGCCTCGGCCTCCCAAAGTGCTGGGATTACAGGCTGAGCCAACAAGCCCAGCCTCTATTATAATCTTATGGGACCATCATCGTGTATGAAGCCCATCGTGGACCAAAATGTTCTAATACAGTGAGTGACTGTACATACCAAGGCAGACTCAAAGTCTTGGTATATACAGTATTAGTGTATCAAACTCTAATGCTGAACTGCTTCAAGTTCTACTGTTCTGTTCTGTTTGGTTTTCCCTTGTTATATTTTCTGAGTTCCACCAGTACAACTTCTTGTAATTCAATACTTTTGAGATTCTTTGTTACCTTCTCCATGGTCGTCCATGCCTGACGTAAGGGAGTTGTGAAACAATTAGGGAGCGGTCCACCTTCCCGGCAGATATTGGATTCAATTTCTAATCGCACAACATCATCAAATCCAAGAGGATGTGTGGCTTGGAGGGAGAAGTACCTATGGTAGAAAGATATCCAAAGTAAAACCAAATTTCATACCAAGTATAAGCAACTTCTGGCACCTATATCAGAGAATCTCATACAGGGCTACTTAATTCAACCTGCAGACTCAGAAGCATAGAGCTGGGTGATGACAGTCCTGTTGTAACCTTTTTTTATTCCTACTTTCCCCAGACATCTGGGTCAACTTGTTACTTTCTCGATCTGCCTGCTAGTCATCCTTAGTTCTTGCCCCATAAACTCTGCTGTTGTTTAAGAATTATGAAGGTCAGGCTACAACTGAGGCAAGGAAACTAATTTAATTACATATATTTAATGGACACTCATTCTCTGCTCAGGTCTTGGTAGATAGAAATGGATTTATAAGAAAGCAAGAAATGGTGATTTCCTCTGAAAAGAGAGCAGAAAACACCTACACACAGAATACAGTGAGAACACACCATCATTAATCATGAAGTATAAGTAATAAACAGGTAGGAATTTAAAACAAAAATGTCACTGAGGCTGAAGTGGATGGATTTGATATATTTGAATAGAACTTGCCAATGATTTGATATAGAAAGGAAAAGGAGTAATTAAACCTTGATGGGACATAATATAGCTAGTATTTTGGTAAGCTGACTGAAGTGCATACAAAAAAGCATTGAGAGAGAGAGAGAGAGAGAATATGTGTGTACACACACACACACACACACACACACACACACTCTCTCTCTCTCTCTTCTGAGTACCCTAGTAGCTTCCATCTCTTGTCTTTGTCTC